GGGGTGTCGCCAGCTGGGCACACGCTGAAACAATGGCAGCAGCCATCCACGGCTGAGACAGGTGATGTGGCCCCTGAAAGCCCGTCGTGGTCACGCTAATTATGGGGGGGTGCATTTGGGGCTGGGTTTTTCCGGCAGGGGTGGAGATGGAGATGATGCCGATATCAGCTTACGACATCTGTTGTCGCTGGTGCTGAAAAGGTGAAAATGAAGACCTTTTGTTTGTGAGCGTAAAGTTTAAAAATGCACAGTCTGACTCAAGGTCGACGCTGCTCTGTGGGCCCGCCGGTTTCTTTGCCCAGCGAGTGACGTTCTGTCGGTTCTTGTTTTCTGACAGTTTACTGTTGCCTACCACTCCGTGCCTTAAGAGCTAACTGCTAAGATCTGATTGGATGGCTCTTTGGCGTGTGAGGCCGTACCTGCTCTTAGCGGAGTGCTAACTCATGGCCTCCCCTTTGTTTCCCCTGTCTTTGTCATAGGCTTGGTAGCACACTGTGACTTGGACGAGAGGGCGATTGAGGCATTGAAGGAGTTTAATGAGGACGGCGCCCTGCAAGTTTTACTCCAGTTTAAGGATAGTGATCTGTCGCATGTGCAAGTGAGTGTGCCCGGTGCATTGCCGGGTGTGCCGTCGCACGACACGCGTCCGGGGTGTTAACTCCTAGCCCACCAGTCCTCTCCTTCCCCGTTAGAACAAAAGTGCCTTTCTCTGCGGTGTGATGAAGACGTACAGGCAGCGGGAGAAGCAGGGCACCAAAGTTTCAGATTCCAGCAAAGGACCGGATGAGGCCAAAATAAAGGTACGGTCAAGCAGCAGAGTACAGATCCAGACCAAGGTTTTGTTTCAACCAACCAGTTCAGTATTAAGAGTCACAGTCACAGAGTACTCAGCTGCTTGGTTGAAACAGAACCTTGGTCTGGATTTGTACTTTCTGGGCCTGAACTGTCCACCTCAGTCAAGCAGTCATGTCTTGGCTTTGCTACGGGTAATGCTTGTTGGGTTAACTTAAGACGTAACAGTGTATTTAGCTTTATGACATAAAAGCATGTGCATGCGTTCATTCGTTGACCTTTATTTTACCAGGCAAAGCATTAAGAACAGTTTCTTATTTACAGTGACAGCTTCTGCTAAACGATGTAAGTTGTGTTCTAGGTGAATGATACAGGAAATGTTTGTTGGACACTTTTGTTTTTTGACTTTGTCCGAAGAGTCTGTTTTATCATATGAGATGCAAGATATTTGCATGTAAATATCTTTATTGCGGAGTTATAAAGTGTGTATGGTGGACAGCAGTCTTTCACGTAGGGGTTCGCCTGTGGATTAGATTGATCTTTTTCATCACTTGATAGGCTTTGCTGGAAAGAACCAGCTACACACTCGACGTGACGACCGGTCAGCGAAAGTATGGCGGCCCCCCCCCATCCTCCGTGTACTCGGGCGCACAGCCCACCATCGGTACAGAGGTAAGCCCCCCCCCGCAGACCAGTGTGTAAAATCTGCCTGTGGAAGCTTCCACCTTCGCTTAGCCTGCTACGCTGCCCCTAGTGTCCACATGATGAAGCGTATATTCTGTTCTGGAGTGACTTGTGTTGCGCTGACAGTTTACCGCTAAGATCTGACGGGACACCCCCCCAACAGTTACTTTATACAAACTGTGATATCCGTATACCCAGGGTGATGACTGAAATTGATGTTGATCTCATTCAGCTCCTTTTTCTCTGCAGATTTTTGTGGGTAAAATCCCAAGAGACTTGTTTGAGGATGAGCTCGTACCCTTGTTTGAGAAAGCGGGCCCCATCTGGGACCTCCGCCTCATGATGGACCCCCTCAGCGGCCTAAACAGGGGCTACGCCTTTGTCACTTTCTGTACTAAGGAGGCCGCCCAGGCCGCTGTTAAACTGGTGAGTGTCCTCGCCCCGCCGCTCCTGATTGGCCGCCGGTTGCCGACGGCTCTGGGACCGGCTCTTTAAGGCGCCCGCGGGGCTCTCTGTCTCCTCCTCGCAGTGTAATAACAACGAAATTCGCCCCGGCAAACACATCGGCGTGTGCATTTCCGTAGCCAATAACCGACTGTTTGTGGGCTCCATCCCCAAGAGCAAAACAAAGGAGCAGATTGTAGAAGAATTTGCCAAAGTCACAGGTAAGAGAGGCTCGCTCCGGCCTCAGTGGGCGTCTCCGCAAAGTCTGTTTTCTTACTGTTGATTAAAAGATGAGTATCTGAAGGTTTAATAAGCCTGAAATTCTTTATTGGAATCAAATGTAAGTAGGAGCACCTAATGATTTGAGTGCAGCTTCGCAGTAGCGGTGTGGTCAGATATCATGTGGCAAATGTGATTATTGCTGTTATGCTGGGCTCTGCAGGAAGTGCTCATTTATTATGCTCATAATAATAATACAGACAGAGCCTCTTTCGTGGCGGGACAGCGCTGGGCCTGAAGTACTTTCCTTGTCTTTTCTTTCCACGCCTCCTGTTTAGAATGGTTTGTTCACTTTTTTTTTCCTCTTCCTTTCTCTTTTTGTTCCACCCTTTTTTGCAGAAGGTCTCAGTGACGTCATACTTTACCATCAGCCGGACGACAAGAAGAAGAACAGGGGGTTCTGCTTCCTGGAGTACGAGGACCACAAGAGCGCCGCTCAGGCCCGCCGCCGGCTGATGAGCGGCAAGGTCAAAGTGTGGGGCAACGTGGTGACAGTGGAGTGGGCCGACCCCATCGAGGACCCCGACCCCGAGGTCATGGCCAAGGTCAGTGTGGAGGCTCTGCTGGTGAATTGCTGCAGCTCGGCCCTGTCATGGGTTAACCTGTTAGTCCCTGATTAGTCTGAAAGTTGAAATTGTGGACCTGAACTGAGACCTGATTAATGATGTTTCTGTGTTCCAGTCTCCAAGTGTCCCAAAGTCACTATTGATCACAATAGTGGTGTAGTCTTAGGTGTGCAGCCACAGACAGATGTCGGGTTCTGCGTGTGATGTCTCCTGCGCTTGTCACGCAGGTGAAGGTCTTGTTTGTGCGGAACCTGGCCAGCACTGTGACGGAAGACAAACTGGAAAAGGCCTTCAGCCAGTTCGGCAAGCTGGAGCGAGTCAAGAAGCTGAAAGACTACGCCTTCATCCACTTCGATGAGAGGGACGGCGCCGTAAAGGTACGCCCCCCCCCCACCCCGGAGCACGGCTGCCCCCCCCGCAGTAGCGGAGCTGCCCGTGACCCTCTCCCTGTGTCCGCCCCCCCCACCACAGGCACTGGCCGAGATGAACGGCAAAGACTTGGAGGGCGAGCACATCGAAATCGTTTTCGCCAAGCCCCCGGACCAGAAGCGGAAAGAGCGCAAAGCACAGAGGCAGGCGGCCAAGACTCAAATGTGAGCGGCGTGTTCTGATTGGCTTGTGGTTGCCCCCCCCCACTATGCGGGTCGTCCCCGTTTTCGCTTGTCGCCTTAATGGTCACCTGTTCAGCCTCTGGACGTCTCATTCATCCATCTTTAAAATGTCCCCTTCTCTCTCCC